CCAAGGGATCCCTTGGCCTGACTCTGTGCCCTTGTGTGCCCTCATTCCAGCTGCTCTGACTGACAGTTGTGCACATTCCCCTGGAACAGCTTCCCAAACTGGAAACACCCCCAGGCTCTGCAGGGAGCTCCTTTATTCCCTGGATTTTTGCAGGTTCATTCCCTGGTTTTTTGCAGGTTTATTCCCTGGTTTTTTGCAGGTTTATTCCCTGATTTTTTGCAGGTTCATTCCCTGGTTTTTTGCAGGTTTATTCCCTGGTTTTTTGCAGGTTTATTCCCTGATTTTTTGCAGGTTCATTCCCTGGTTTTTTGCAGGTTTATTCCCTGGTTTTTTGCAGGTTTATTCCCTGATTTTTTGCGGGTTTATTCCCTGTTTTTTTGCAGGTTTATTCCCTGGGTTTTTGCAGGATTATTCCCTGGTTTTTTGCAGGTTTATTCCCTGATTTTTTGCAGGTTTATTCCCTGATTTTTTGCAGATTTATTCCCTGATTTTTTGCAGGTTTATTCCCTGGTTTTTTGCAGGTTTATTCCCTGGGTTTTTGCAGGATTATTGCCTGGTTTTTTGCAGGTTTATTCCCTGTTTTTTTGCAGGTTTAATCCCTGGTTTTTTGCAGGTTTATTCCCTGATTTTTTGCAGGTTTATTCCCTGTTTTTTTGCTGTCAGAGCAAACTCCCCCTGCTGTGGGATCCCAGGGAAGGTGTGCCAGCCCATGGAATGGGACGGGCTCAAGGTCCCTTCCCACCCAAACCATTCCAGGATTCCCTGACCTTGGAGATAGCAGCTGTGTCTGGAGCAGAGCCTGGAATTAGCCTTTGGATGGAATTGTGGTTGGGACTTTTGGGGGGTGAAAGGCCCAGACCCCGTTTTTCCAGGTTCAGGGAGGTGTTGGCGGAGCCATCCCAGCCCTGCCCTGTGGGATCATCCCTCGGCATTCCCGGCATTCCCTCTGCTCCTGCTGGGCTGGGCTGGGCTGGGTGCAGGGCAAAGCCCTCCCCTTGGGCTCCACCTTCTCTTGGAATCATTTCCCTTGGGATATGCCCCAAAAAGCTCCCATTCCATGGGTGTGCATTGGATGGGGAGCAGAGCCTCTGGCCCCACATTCCCGCTGTAGGGATTGCTTGGAAGGGCTCATAATTCCAACCAGGATGGCAAATGAGGCACCAGGAAAAGCAGTGCTGGGAATGTCCCCTCTGGGAGCTTTGCCAGCAGCCCAAACATCATCCAAAATGGGAAAAGCTTGGATTTTTATGGCAGTGTCTCTGCAGGGTGCACCGAAAACTTTGGACTAACCTGGAATTCCGCTCTTTTCCAGCCTTGCCCTGCTCCTGGAAAGGCTGTGCCTCCCCAGGCAGCCCCAAAGAGTCCTTTTTTCATCAAAAATTCAATTTAAGAGTCAAAAATTTATTTAAAAAGGGAACACTCTTTGCAACCCTCCGGTGCTTTAATGATTTTTTAGGATCCTTTATTCCCAGGGGGTTTTATAAAGGATGACCCTGGGTCCAGACCGAGGATTCCATGTTCCCTGGGGAATTTGGGATGGGTTGGGTAAGTTCTGGCTGCTGGGCTGTTTGTTTGTGGGGTTTGGAACCCACCACGTGCCTGTGGCTCACGTGGATTCCATCCTGGGAATTCCAGCCAAGGCTCCTCATCCCCCAGGACAGGGATTTAAATGGCTTGGGAAGTTCAGAACTAGAACAGAATCGACCCAAAGTGAAGTTTGGGGAAGGTCAGAGTGGAGCAGGTGGGGCTTGAGAGGAAAAATGTGTCCCAAATCCCTCTTTGAAAGATCTGTTCCTAAAATCCCGGGATAAAAGGGTAGGAATTTTCCCTTCAGCCTGCAAGGCACTGAGTTGTTCCCGAGGTGCCTCCTGGGGAAGCAGCAGCATTCCAGCCTGGATCTGGGCTCTCTGGGTAGGGAAGAGCAGCTCTCCCCCCCTGAGCTGCCCTGAGGCCTCTTCTCCTGCCCTTTCCCTCCTCATTCCCTGGGGAGCTGCTCCAAGCTCTCCATCCCTCTCCTGGAGGTTTCTCCAGGGATTCCTGGGCTCTTGGATCCATCCTTGGCAGAGCTCCCGGGATGAGCTGTTTGTTGAGCTCCTTGGCTGCTCCAGGCTCAGCCTCCAGGCCATTCCTGGTGCAATTCCAGGCTCTGCAGCTGTTCCTTCCAGGAGCCAGGAGCAGGAAGGAGCCAGGCTTGGCTCCTTGGCTTTCCCAGCTGTGTCCAGGCTGTCCCAGGGATGTTCTCCACTGACCTGTTGTTGCCACCAGCACAGTCCTTCCCATCTGGGAGCTTTCCCAGCTCCTGGTGACCGGGAGCGCCTGGAATTTTCCCAGTATTTCAGCCAGGAATTCTCCTCTGTGAAAACCCAGGGATAATTCCCCTTTTTCTGCCAAAACCCAGGAGGAATGTGCAAATCCAGGTGGGAATCAAACATCCCAAGTGCTGGTGGTTACTTGGAAAAGTTGGCAGTGGATCCAAGGGAAGGGATTGGAGTGGGAAGAGCCTTCCAGAAGGTTCCTTTTGGGAAGGAGCTGGATTGGAGCAGCGCTCTCAGGGTTTTTGGGGCTGCTGGAAATGGTGCCAGGGAAAGTTTGGATCCCTCAGGAGGGTGGAGTGGGAGAGAGGAGCTGAGGAGTGTGGAAAAGAGCAGATTCACTCCCAAATATTCCCCAAAAATAAGGGAGGGATTAAAAGGAAGAAACAGAGAATCTTCAGCCACGGTGTGGGGACGCGTGGCAACATCCACTGGGGGAGTGGGGCTGGCTGGGATGAGGATCAGCAGGAATTTTCAGGAGGAATTCCCTCATGGAAAGGGGGATTGGACATTGGAATGGGCTCCAGGGAGGTGGTGGAGTCCCTGGAGGTGTCCATGGAATGCCTGGATGTGGCACTCGGTGCTCTGAGCTGCTTGGGATGGTGGTGGGTGACCTTGGAGGGCCTTCTCTGGGAAAATATTCCCGGATTCCTGCTTCAAAAAGTGGGATTTCTGCTCTGGAAGCTCCGAATGGGCTCCAAGGGAGAGGGATGAGCTCCCGAATAATAGAACTGAACATCTGGAGGGAGCCAGGGAAGGGGTTTCTGCTCCATGTGCTGGGAATGCCTTGGAAAATCCAGGTGGGGCTTGTGCTCCCACAGGAAAATCCCCGTGGAGCCGTGGCAGTGGGATCTGGGCTTTGTCTCCTTGGCTTTCTGAGGGAATGCCAAGAAAAGGAGGATTTTGTTGCTTATTTCTTATTTTTTGCAAGCTGCCAATTCCTGGGGCAGAGGCTCTAAAAATGCCAAAGGAACCTGGGAATCCTCAGCATTCCAAGGAGAAATGTGTCAGAAAGCTCCTGCCAGGTCCATCCCGGCCCTGGAAGGAAATCTGAATCCTTGGAGCTGCTTTGGTTGTTAAATGGAGCCTCCAGCAGGAGGATTAGAGGGAAAAATCCCACCCGGAATAAATTTGGTTTATGGGGCTAATTCCAGGAGAAAATTCCAGTGGAGTTTTCAAAGGTCCAGGTGGGTGTTGGATAATGGATGAATGGGATTCAAGTGGCTGGATAAACCTCCTCTGGTGGGATCCAGTTTGCTCAGAGACGTGGAGAATCCTTGGAAAACAAAGCCTGTTCCAGGGAAACTCCACCGGAGGAGTTTTTGTTGGATTGGAGGTTGGGAATGCGAGGGAAGGATGCAGGGAGTTCATAAGGGAGTGATTATCCCAAGTTTGGGAAGGGCAGAGCCCGTTGAAAGGCTGGGTTAGGAGTTAATTCCGTGGGATTGAGGCGGTGCCGGGTCCTGATTCCCAGGTAATCCATGGATCATGTGTGGGCAGGGAGGTGGTTCCTTTTTTAAGGAATGTTCAGCCACATAAAAAAAAAAAGGGAATAAATAATCTGAAAAGCTCCTGAGGGTTTGTTCCTGTTGGATTTGAGCAGGGAAAAGGAACAGCAATGAAAGAGCTGGGGAAAACCTCTGGAAGTATTTTGGGGCTGGACCAGACCATCAATAAATGTGGAATTCGGGGAGTTAAATCTCCTCTGGAGCTCAGTGAATAATTCCAGAGCTGTGGAATTTGGGGAGTTAAATCTCCTCTGGAGCTCAGTGAATAATTCCAGAGCTGTGGAA